TCACCGTTCTGGTTGTTTCTTCGCCCATTTTTCAGTGTAAAACAGAAGTCTGATAAAGCTTTATCTGGATAAAAAAGGCGTAGTTATTTAACAGGTTTAATCATCCAAATACAAAGGAAAATGCATTTTCAAAGAACCAAAAGACGAAGAAGAAAAAAACAGATGTTTCAGGATATTTTTCTTCATCTAGGGCACAAACCAATAAAGAAGAAGCCCAATCTCTCTCTCTCTCTCTCTCACTAAAAGATCAAATAGAAAAGCCCTTTCTCTCAGTAAAAAATAAAATAGAAGAAGCCCTCTCTCTCACCAAAATTTCCCTTCAAAATCGATCCGCCGATCGAACGAAGGAACTGTAAGCCCAAAGGCATTCTATGTGGAAGCCATAATTCTCCATGGTTCTAAAAGAAATAGGAATGCCATTGGATTGCTTATTATTTTCAAATTTAACCCCTGGAAGAGCAGGGTGCAAAGCGTAACTCCGGTGGCAATGGACCGGGACCCAGCAGGTACACCCGACCCCGGTACGGGTATGGGTCGTACAATTGGACCTTGTGGGTTTAGATCCTATCGGGCCTTGTCTAGATCCCACATTATATTTTGGAAAAAGTTTATATCAAGCCGAGGCTCTAAACAATCAAATTAGAACCTATCTAAAACATTTCACTACAAGAAATTATTTTGATGTTTAAATATCTTCAAATTGATCATCTCGGCATCAAGATGCATGTACATGAGGAAAATTTTGATTTTAAGTTTTGAAAATAGTGTACTTTGTAACGTATTTTTAAGCCGTTAATTTTCAAGAATTTCAAGTTTTCATATATCTATCGGTCTACACTCTTTTTGAAGCTTTAAACTTTATAAATAAAGATAAAAATATATTTTAAGTCTATCCCAATGATTTTTAGTATTCAAACCACATTTCTCAATACTATTTGAAGGTAGGCTCTAATTTGATTGTTTAGAGCCTGGGCTCTATACAAACCGCACCATTATTTTTGTAGGTCTCCATTTATAAAATTTATTTAAATATCTAGATATTTTAAATTTTGGGTCGAATCTAGGACCATGTCTGGGTCCGAATCCAAGTCCATGTCATATCCTATTCTCACGTTGTATTTTTGGATCCGGGTCGTTGAGAACCCTACAAAACAATTTTTTAATAGCCGTCGGTGCGGTGCTTGACGTCGAATCTAGACTAAAAGCAAAGGCGAGATCTTACAAGGTCTAAGACAGATCTAAACCTAATCCAGTTCGTGTCAAAAGTATAAATAAAAAATATAATTTATGTATTTTATCATATATAATATTATTTATATAATAAAGTCATGATCCGTAGGAGTGTTAGGTTACCCGATATAGCTAGCCCATGGCCGGTCCAAGTAACCCGGTCCTAATCGTGCAGTCCTGGCTAAAAAGGGTAAATATTTTTTTAAAGAAGGGTGCGGTTTGTATAGAGCCGAGGCGTTAAACATTCAAATTAGAGCCCATGTTCAAATAGTATTGAGAAATATGATTTCAATACCAGAAGAACCTGCCACGATCGGTAGCCGGTTGCCAGCTGCCGGTTTCAAGTTGATCTTGCCCATTGTATAAACACCGATCCCTCGTGTCGTAGAGAGGGAAAACGGTTTGACAAAGCTGTAGCCCTATTAAAATAAATAAAACCTCAATTAATAATTTATAGAAAATTGTAATTAGAAAACCTTTACATCGATCATTTCGACTTGAATATTATAGTTATGAAAAAAAATGGGATTTCAAACTCTAAAAAATAATGTATATTTCAACAAATTATTAAAATAGTGTAAAGTTTAACAAAATATCTAAACCGTCTATTTTGTCAAAAAAAATAAGTGTTCAAAGATCCACAAGATCTGAACGTTTTTTTTAGTTTCAAATTTTATTGTGGGTGTTAAAAAATTAATTTTAGAGCTATCATGAAAATTTCTGTGGTCGAAAGTGCTTTTGAGATGAAGATTTGTGGTGAGGCTCTATTTGGTTTTCATAGAGCTTAGGCCGTATAAGAACTTCATCAAATATAGAGAGTGGATCACAAGTAGGGAAAAGTCAGACTAGTTTAGATGGTGAGAGAGAGGCGCTAGCAGGACAAAAAGTCAAGCTCAATCACGAGCTCACGTGTGACTGCAAGGGCAAAGCTCCAAAATTTAGCACAAAAAATCTAGGCCCTTGGGACCACTAATAAAAGTTGGACACCGTTTTTACGAGTCCATATGGAAATGAGTCACCTCTTATAAATCTATTTTTGAGATGGAGTTTTGAACGTAATTTTTAAAGATATGTAATCTTTAATATAGAGATCATAAATATAAAAAATTTAATAAATTTTAAAAATTAAAAATAATAAAAAAATTATTTCATGCAGGTTGGACTGTATTTCTATAATATTTTGTCAAGAGGTGTAAAGCATCCATTTTAAAGATGGAAGCAAATAGGTAGTCCATCTAAAAACAAGTGTAACTAGCTGTTCAAATCTTTTTTTAATATAATTATTATTTCTCGTTTTCAAATATATACAATATGTGGGCTGGCCGCATACAAACGATATCCAATAATAATTCTATTAATAAAATATTTGGATCGTTAGTTTTTATTGTTTTTAGATGTTCCACTTATTTGCATCCATCTTTAAGATGAATGCTTTATATTTCGGGACCGTAAATGTAAAAATGCGGTCCCCATCGCATGAAACAATTATCCATGAAGGATATATAAAATTATAGTGAGCAACATCTGAGGCAAGCTTGTTTCGGTCCCCATGCTCGCTATAACATTGCCCGGTCAACCTGAGATTTTTTATTTTTTATTTAAAATTGCTCCTTAGTTCGAGGATACAATCTTCGAACTGCATTTTGTTTTTTGAGTTTTTTTTTTTTTGTTTTATAGGGTTGTACCCTAATGTTTGGGGTGGTGCCCAATCGGCCCAATATGTGCATCATCGGACTGCCTTCTATGGTGCTCTTTAAAGCGCTTTGAGGTTGGCATCCTCGGAATGCAAAGACTGACTTTGTTAAGCATTTAGAGATGGTCTGAGCTGCCCATTCTCGGACTGCCTTATCTGATCAGGGTGGGTTGGCATCATCAAACTGTATTAGCTCATGTGTTTGCGAGAAGAAATAAGGCGGTTGGAGGATGCTAATCTTGGATTGTCTTTTGGATTGGGCATGGCCCCTCACACTAGGGCATTGCCCTACTAAAGTAAAAACTAAAAATAAATAAAGATTTAAAAGTAGTCTAAGGATGTCATCCTCAAACCAAAGGACAATTTTGAAAAATAATAATAAAAAAACACAGATTGATCGACATTCTGCACAATTTTCATCTGTACTTATAAAATTTAAAGCTTAAAAAATAGTTATATCAAGCAGATCTATGGAAATTTGAAAATCTTGAAAATTAACGATCCAAAAATGTATTATAAGATGCACTATTTTCAAAACTTGCAATCTATTTTTTTCTCATGTCCATGCATCTTGATGTCGAGATAATCAATTTGATGATATATGGGCATCAAAACAACCTCTTCTAGTGAAAATTTTGAGGTAGGCTCTAATTCAATTGTTTAGAGCCTAGGCTCTATATAAACTTTTCCCTTTTTTTTGGGGTAAATAAGTGGGGCTGAAGTCCCCTATCTATTTTCATTAATAAAAAGAAAATTGTTTCATGCCGGGCATTTCTACCTATGTTGTCTAAAAAGTGTAAAGCATCCGTCTTAAAGATGGATGCAAGTAGGTGTTCTTTCTAAAAACAATGGAAACTAACGGTCCACATGGTTTTTTTACTAAAATTATTAGTTTTAATTTTTAAAATTTATTTATTTATTCATATTCATGATCTCTATGTTAGAGATTACATGTCGTTAAAATTTAATCTTAAAATCCATCTCAAAAATATATTTATTAAGAAACCCCGCATTTCTACATATGCTGGCTTGACCGCATAGAAATTGGGCCTCTAATAAAAATAGAGAAAATACATATCATATATTTACAACTCTACAGTAAAGCACTTGTGCCAAATCATGAAATAAAGAAACATAAATAAAATATGGCGGCCTAGAATGTCAAATTGTAGCATTAGAAAAATATGTTGCCTTCTTGGGTGTATCCGTTATGGTGTTGGCGTTACGATAGATGTGGGAAATGGTCCACCTACTATTGTAGAGGTTGTGTCGGCAATGGGCTGCTAATGTTGGCGTGTCACGTTCAATTAGCTCTATAGCTACAATAATGAATCACTTCCAATTTGAAGTGGGAAATAGTCGAGTTGAATGGCCATATCAGTACCCTCCTTCCACCTACGATCTGAAAGGTTATGTCGGCAATTGGTTGCTGCTGTTGGAGTATGCATGGAGCTCTACAGCTGCCTCGAATAACATTAACGAGCAACAATGAATCACATTCAATTTAAAGTGGGAAATAATCGAGTTGAATGGCCAGATCAATACCCTCTTCCCACTTACAATCTGAACGGTTATGTCGGCAATTGGCTGCTATTGTTGGAGTGTCCATGAACCTCTACATCTGCCTCGAATTACATTGACGAGCAACAATGAATCACATTCAATTTAAAATGGGAAATAGTGGCCAGATCAATACCCTCCTTCCACTTACGATCTAAAAGGTTATGTCAACAATTGGATGATACTGTTGGAGTGTCCATGGATCTCTATAGCTGCCTTGAATGACATTGACGAGTAACATTCAATTTAAAGTGGAAAATAGTCTAGTTCAATGACCAGATCAACACCCTCTAAAGCATAGAATTCTATTAGATTTATGTGGCCTTTAAAGGCCTTATGAGTGTTTGTAACAAAAACATTTGATATAGTGGAACATAAATTCAGTGGGAGTGTGATCCCACATGGACTGTACTATACAAACAGTGTTTGCAGATACCGATATGTGCATGACGATCTAGGCCAGTCGGTTGGAAAAAACCAATGTTACCTAGGTATGAAGAACAAACCGATGAGGGTTCATGAGTTACCCCTTGATGATGTCGGAGAATATGCTCAGATAAGTGAGCAGAGAGACTGTGTAATCTTTGTGTGTGATGGTATCCTACAGAGACGGGGGCCAAAACCTCATCTATGTACCATCACACGGCATGCATATCGATAGATTGTTCGAGAAAGCTAGAAATCCACCTTTTAGGGTGAAGTATATGCATGTGCGAGAGATACTCCTATGCACTATAGAACTGTGGTCGCATAAGGTCTTAGTGATCTTGACCCATCTCTAGGGGAGGACCTGTAATCCACAGACTGGGATTGCGACCCATTGGCTCATCGGCCAAACTTTGGTGACCCCCTAATGAGCCCCTGTTTAGACTGTGGGTCATGAGAAACACTGGGTCGGTCTGATAAAGCAAATGTG